AATATAATAATAATATAATAATATAATAATGATAATAATAATAATAATAATGATAGTGATAATTACAACAAAAACATTATTTTTATGATTGATATCATTATCATTATCATTGATATCATTATTATTATCATTACTGTCATTACTATTATTATTAATAATATCCTTGTTATCATTATTACAATGTTACAATAATAACAGTTATTATCCTTATCCTTATCCTTTATTATTATTATTATTATTATTATTATTATTATTGTTATTATTATTATTATTATTATTATTATTGTTATTGTTGTTGTGTTTATTATCATTGTTATTATTATTACAATGATGATGATGATGATGATGATTATCGCTGTTATCATTATTTTTAATATGGTCGAAGAATAGTTGTAGCGATAAATAATTATGGTATTATTGAAATTATAACAATAAATGACGTATACTGGTATGAGTAATAATAAGTTTGATATTGCGACAACAACAATAACAATAACAATAACAACAACTACTACTACTAAGACTACGACTACGACTACGAGGACCACCATCGCTACTACTACTACTACTCCTCCTAATAAAAATAACGATATTGATGATAATAATAATGATAATAATAACTAATGATGATGATGATGATGATGATAATAATAATAATAATAATAATAATAATAATAATAATAATAATAATAATAATAATAATAATAATAATAATAATGATAATAGTAATAATAACAACAACAACAGTAATAATAATAATGATAATGACGATGATAAAAATAATAATGATCATAACAACAATGATAATAATAGCAATAATAAGAAAGAAAATGATAATAACTATTATTGACATTATAGTATGAATACAACTTTTAGTACTTCTAGAGAATCGAGAACACCCTTTTAAATTTTCCCTGCCATTCGATTCCCAGGTTTCGCGATGGGTGCTGCCATTCCAATCTTACTGGTGTTCATAGGTTGTTGCAGCAATGTGGTTTTCCTCGAACTGCTTGTTCAGTGAGTATCTGCTTGTTTTAATTCCGTTGATTGGGTTTTGTGAAATGTTTCTGTTTTGTCTATTCATGTTTGTTTTCTTTTTCTACCGCCTCCCCTTCTCTGTCTGTCTGTCTTTTTCTGTCTCTAATTCTCTCTCTCCATCTCTCATCTCTCTCTCTCTCTCTCTCTCTCTCTCTCTCTCTCTCTCTCTCTCTCTCTCTCTCTCTCTCTCTCTCTCTCTCTCTCTCTCTCTCTCTCTCTCTCTCTCCTCTCTCTCTCTCCCCGATAACCACTCTCTCCGATAACCACTCTCTATTCTGATCATTATTACTATTTGTATCTGTAATGAAAACGCAATCTGTTAAGCGTCCACACTAGCTAATCATACATGCATGGCTTCATCAGCGAACGTTTATCAACCGCGAAATGTTACAAGTAATATCTCACAATAAACGCCACCTTCACCTACAGAGATGAACCTGCCTGCGGTACCATCCTCACCTTCGCCCAGTTCCTTTTCATTGCCATCGAGGGCTTTGTGGTCACCATGGACTGCGGGAGGAGGAAGAATGCAATTCCTGTCAAGTACGTGATCCTCTAGTCTGTTCATATACTTTTTTTTTTCCCTTTCTTTTTTACCTCTGGAAGGCTGCTGCGGCTTTGTAATATCACGTATATTTCATGTATTTTTTCCCTTTCTCATTTGCATCTGGAAGGGTGCGTCGTTGTAATTTTTGTTTCTTGTTTTTAGAGAATATTTGATACTGATGACGATGTTCTTTACGGTCAACGTCACCAACAACATGGCTTTTGGTTACAAGATTTCCATGCCGCTGCACATTATCTTTCGAAGTGTAAGTTTTCCCGACTCGTCTTTCATTTGTAGAAAAGGTATGGGGGAGAATGAATATCTTCAAAATAAAAAAAAATACATTTAATCGGTTTCGAATATATTTTCGTTAGAAGTGCATTTCTGACGTAGATATATTCGAAACCGGTTAAATTCACCCTTGGCATTGAAAAAACTATTCATTATCATTCATACCTTTTCTACATTTGTCACGATGAATACGTTTCGTTTTTTATTATCGTTTTGGTACGCAGGAGGTATGCAGGCTAAGAATAAATATAAAAACAGAGAAAAGTGAAGGGAAATCGCATTTTTAGCGTAAAGTAACAACTTTTGCATCGTTTCAGGGAGGCCTCATAGCCAGCCTGGTGATGGGCGTCCTGGTTCTGGGGCGCAGTTACTCCTTGTCGAAGTACCTGTCAGTTATCATGATCACCCTCGGTACCATCATTTGTACCTTCGCATCGGCAGAGAACCTGGTAAGCTAAACTTTTTAACTGTTGTTGTATTTGTATTATATTTTCATACGATTACTTTGCGCGTGTCGCGCAGAAAACAGCTGGTAAGCTAAACTTTTAGTTGTTTTTGGTAGACTGTATTCCATATTTTTGTGCCACATAGCTAGAGATTCGTTGTTATGCTGGGGGCTGTTGAAGAATTGGGGGAGAGGTAGCACTGTATTTTGAGAGCTGAATGGCTAATAAGGATAAAAGTTAAACTTTGGAACAACTTATTTTAACCATAGATGCAATTGCTCTGTCATGAGAGAGATAGAGAGAAGCCTGGGTAGGGCAGGGAGGGGTTAATGGGAGGGCTAGAAGAAGATATCGATGAGGAAGAGATCACAACGAGACGAATTGTCATATAACGTACAAATTGACTAGATAGATTGATTGCATAGAGAGAGCAAAAGCGATCCAAACCGCCCAGCTGAATAGAGCATGAGCAAGTAGGCAGAGAACGCAGCGGAGGGAGGGCCGTACAGACGACAGGCTCTAGTAGAGCCGGGTCCACGTACGTAAGAGGCTAGGCGCTTATAGACGTCATCGACAATCTAGAGAGAGAGAGCAGAGAGAAAGAGGAGAGGAGCCGTATGACGGAGAGAGAGAGCAGCAGAGTCAGAGAGTATCATCGAAGGGGAGTAAGAATGACCGACTCTCACATTCCCTTCTCACCGCCTCAGCAGAATGGTAACGACGCAAGCAGAGCGCCAGAGCGAAGACGAGACGCAGAGCGAACGCAGTTAGCAAGACCAGCTAGAGTAGCATCACAATGAGGCACATACTCCAGGGCATCCCTGACCTATCGCCAAGCCTCATCTTCAAGGTCTGACCACGGACATCGGGGAGATCCCTTCCAGGAGATGCTCACTGTCCGGTCGCCTACCGCACACCCGCGAGAGGCCAGCACCTCGGATTCGTATCATCAGATGAGTGGCCGGTTTGCAAGGGTCGTAAGGGGACGTGATTAGTGCAGGACAGGAGTTGAATAGATAGTACCTTATCAAGACTGAAGTCGAAAGTAGACATGGAAGAAAGTATTTAGTCAGTAATATGATCGAATATAATAAGATAATTCCACGATTATAAATATGTAGCATAATGACAAAGCGAAACAGCCCATACATGAGTATTATACAGATATATGAAGAGTATATCAAAGTTAGATTAGTTGAAAACTAGATGTACCAGTATATATATCCCATATAGTGTGTGTGTGTGGAGTGTGTAAGTAAGTGCAGTGGTGCTAGTATGTAGAGTGTGGATGAGTGTGCTGTGTTGTCGTGGGTGTAGTGTGTGTGTGTGCAGTGTGTAGAGTTGCGTGAAGTGACGCGCGAGAGACGGCAGAACACACACACGACAAATAGACCGGACGAATACACCCATATTAGGCCGGCGTACCATACCGCTTTCGCAGCTCCTCGTGAACGCCGCGAGTCGGACAGACAGAAAACTAGCCCAACAGCTGCCATTTGCTCCTCTTTGTGAAAGGCTTGAGAATGAGGACCGCCTTCTTCCAGAAATGCACCTTTTTGTTTTTTCTTTTCTACTCTTCCTTCTCTTATCTTCACTGCACCGACCAACATAGAGGAACTCACCCCGACGATCGCAGATTCGTGCACCATACTATACAACTTCCCTTCAATATCGAGATGCTCCGTCAAAGAAGCAACAACATTTCTCTCTACTTTCTGTCGGCTGTTCCCTTGTCTTGACGTTGTGGCTGAGCATGCTGAGCCGATCATCGAGGCGCAAGGATTCCAGACAGTCCTGAGCTGCCTTTAACGTGAAAAGACATCGGGCCCTGGGCGACACTAAATCGTGCCACTGGGTCCTGGGTAGAACACTTCTGTTGCCCAGGCAGTTGCTCCCTCCCAAATTCCCTGGGCAGCAGATGTTCATACACCACAGCAACAGGTATCTCTTATTTATTACTCCAGATTTGCAGATGGGTTCCATATGTAAGAAAGCGAGGAGCTACTTAGAGGAACGAAATTATTTGGACCAGAGGACATAAGATAATACAAAATGATTTGAACGATTTTGGAATAATAGCTACACAGCAATAGATCTGGGGTAACATCTACCCCGTAAGTCCTGACTGTACGGTTATCCCTTACTTCCCATTAAGGATTTGATCTGGCGATATAGATGGTAGTGCGAGGAATCAGCAGTTAGCATTTGTGGTCTTCCGTTGAGTATGTATAATGTTTAAATAATATGAGAGGATAATAAGACAATAAATAGAGTTAGATAATCAAATAATGATGAGTTAGTATGTGGCAGGGTCGAGGTAAGTTGTTTAGTTAGCCTGGAGTAGGAGTAGTAGACTAAGTAGTACGAGCGTCACTCGCGGGCGATACTCTTGTCGTCGCATTCGAGGCCGTCGTCAAGTCGTAGAGCTAGTGCAGTAGTCGTTAGTGGGGTCAGTGGCGGTGGATACGTGAATAGTGAGTAGTAAGTATTACGTGCAGTACGTGTAGTAAAGTGGAAGTAGTAGTAGTAGAGGGTAAGGGTACGTTAAAGGAAGTGAGAATGAGAGGATTAGATGAAGTGAGAATAGTAGTGAGAAGATGAAGTGTTAGATCGTGAAATGAATGAGTGTATGAGCAGCACAAGCCGAGCATGCTGTGGCACGAGATGGAGCATGAGAGCCTAGAGAGTTGCACTGAAGCATTGAAGAGTTTTGAGGTTTGATAGTATGAGCGTATGATTGCAGATTTGGTGAGCAATAAAAGGTGATGTTATGGGCATGATATAATATGATACTGAGTAACACCGCAATGTTGATCAGGATGATAGGAGTGATAATTGGGTGATAGGCATATATCCCCTCTTTCAGGTGGTAGATATAGTCTCCTTAAGACTCTACGAACGCATGCGACGAAGATATACTGTGTGAGCGTAGGGGATCGGTGATTGACAGAAGTGATGAGAGGTATGAGAGGAGAGAAGAGCGCACCTTAGCTGACGAGTACGAAGCACGACTGGTTCAGTCACCCTAAGAAAGTTACGATAGTCCGACATAGTGTCTCTCAGAGAGAATCGATTTAATGTATGCGCACAGAAGTCCCATGCACAATCAACGCAGCCATGATGAACTTTGGCACCGGTCTTGTTTTTTCGGGACCTGCACTCTCTATTTTCACAGTCTATCTATCTATTTACTTATCTTAGACAGAGAATGTATTGTACGGAAAGGCTCGAGAGGCCATGGCAGCGGCGCACGCAAAAGAAATACGGAGTGAGATGAAATGGCGCGAAATAACTCCATTAGTACTGAACTATTTGCAAAAATCGTTGTTTGCAAATTTGTAATGGACATAGTATATGGCACTCCAGAAGTATGTTTTTTTGTTGGACAGATGGATTGAACTCTGTGATTAGGACTATGGCGAATGTGATGGTGTTTTCTTAATTCATATACGTAAATATATGGTGCTTTCTGATGGATTGACAATGCATTTGGTCTGCCTTACTCATGTACAGTGAATGTTTGTGTTTGGTTGTTCAACACATATTTTTTGTGATCTTTTTCTTTTGATTAAAGGTTGTCAACAAAACTGTATTTTTTAATTATTGTCGAGTTAATGTATTATGGATTCCATTGATTATCTGACAATATATAAGAGGTGTACCGGAGGGAGAGAAACGTCGACGTACTATCTTTTCAATCCATCGAGAAAGCGAGAAATTACAAATTACACAAAACACACCAACTCATGCTCATTGCTCTGAAGTCTCTTGGTAAGTCTGGGCGTCAGTCACACGTTATCGTCCTCAAGTCAGATGACACTGCCCACAGCGAGCGAGCATCTCTGAACTCTTAGAGACGTAGCATCATTGCAATCGTAGGGAATCAGAGAGAGAGTGAGAGAGACGACGAGAGAGGAGAGTAGCAGCACCGAGAAAGAGAGAGCAGGTACGTAGACGTCACATCGAGATGAGAGCAGAGGTCAGATGAGATGGAGAGGAGAGAGAGAGATCGAGTCAAAAGTCTCGCGATCGATGAGAGGTCATCCACGATCAGTACAGTCTCAGATCTATAATAACATCTTCCTTCTATCTCTCTCATACACCTATCCTACCTTACGCGTCTCTTTATCTACGATCTATCTAAGAGCTGTCGGTGGCTCCGACATCCTCTCGTCACACTCACGAATTTTAAATGGTCCATCTCAAAATCGCGCTAATTCTCGGCTCTCTGTCCTACTAAAGGGTTCTCTCATCAATAGATGCTTCTCCAGTTGTGTGCCACTGAATTACGTTTCCACGACGTTCTACGATTGAGCGACCAACGCTCCTTACCTCGCTCAAATTTGTGCTGCTTATGCCCGGCGTACGTTATCGCCTCAGAACGTTCGAACACGTCTTCCTCTCGATTCTGCACAGCATCGCTCTCACCCGCAGCCGGCTATGACCGTAAAGCCAGCGTGCTCGCTCAGTATTCTGTTCTCTTCTTAGACCGCTTTTTACTCTTCCTACGCTATGGTCGCTGCTACGCAGTACTTATCGCTATGCAGCTCCAGCCCCTGTCTTCTTGTCTAAATCAGACTATGAGTCGCCCTCACTCTTCTTGATCTTTCCTTCTCCTACCCTCGTATGCCTCCACCCATCGGGTATCAGAGCACAGAGGAAGCCCACTTCGAACGCCCTGAGTAAAAAAAAGACGACCACCCCACTAATGAACAGAAAAGACTAGACCATTACATGCAAGATTAGATGGAAAAAATACACGCCTAAAGACAGAAGCCCGAGTTAAGTAGAATAAAGGCGCACCCTCGGTGTTTCCTGCTCTTCTACGACAAAAAGCTAGTGTAGTGCGGCCATATCACTCAATTACGGTGGTAAGAGGAAAAAAACAAATGATATTAAATGAAAATGGATGGTTATCAATAGTGAGGATAATGATCACTTATAATAGAATTATGAGATTAGTATACGATGGTTGATGATATGATCGTGAATAGTAACTACACTACTACTATAATGAACGAAATATAAAGTAATAGAATAATAAAGAGGATAATATATTTGAATGGTTATAGAACGGTGATAAACAGTAATAGTAATAAGTAACTTGAAATTATAATCCTAAATACAACAAAATTGATAAGAAGAGTAGGTATATGTATAATGAATCATAAGTTAGTA